TTAACGTCGGCGCTACGTATTGCCTACATCGTTACCCTATCAGGCCAGCCCATCATTGTATCAGAGCACTAGTTCTTTTTCTCCCTATTTTCCCACTATTTGTAGAGCGTTTTTTCGGAGGTTTTCTTTGCTTATTCATTATTAGGTATTTTTGGTTTCCTGTTTCCATTTTTTAGGTTTTCAATAATTTTCTTCTTTTTTTTTGTTCAACATATATCTAAATTTCATACACATTTTACATTTTTGTATACATCAGGAGCACAATCATAAATGTTTACTATGTTTAATACATGAGTAATTTTCTTCAAATATATGTTTTGATGCCTACTTTTTCCCATACATGTTGTACATTTTTCGTGTACATATTAAATATTTTCTTATATATGTTTAATATTTTAAGTACATGGTTATTTTTTTGAAGTACTTGTTCTGAAATGTTTTTGAATACATGTTAATTTTTTTATGATACAAAACATTATTTTTAAAGTATGTGAACAGTTTTATAAATTGGATAAACATTGTTTTTAATAATGTCACAAACATGTTGATTCAAAGACGTGAACATTGTTTAAAAATTTAACTTTTTTAAAATGGTACAAACATTTTTTACATTTCATGATTTTTTAACATTATATAACGTTATTATTAAATGTCATATCCATTTTTGGAATCATGTGAAGTTTTTGGCAATGTCACATACCTTTTTTTAATAATGGTACAAACATATTTTTAAAGGCTGACCGAACATCATTTTACAATACATTTACATTATTTAATGCGCGATGAATACGTATAGAAAAACCCAGCAATTGTTTATAATATATATATATATATATATATATATTGTAAAAATATATAAATAGGTGAAATGGAAAAAAGACACGCGTGACGCGGCCACGGTTCCGTGGGTCGGCCCTGCATGCGAACCTCACGTAGGAGTCGATGCGGGTCGCATTGAGAGCTCCTATTGGACATTCAGCTAGCGTTGCTAACAAACAGAAACTGCGACCTGTTGTGATAATCAAAGGCTCGAACGTTTAAGTACATACTCTGTTGAATTCTTTTTTTAAAGTATGCGTAAAGTATTTTGTATATCCGTTGAACATTTTGCAATATCCGTTGAACATTTTCTTAAAATAAGTTGAACATTTTAAATAATACACGATGAACTTTTTTGAATATATGATGAACTTTTTTGAAAATATGAATATACACGCTGAACAATTTTCGGATACGCACTGAACATTTGTAAAAGAACGTTGAACAATTTACGAATACACACTGAACATTATGTAATATATACAGTGAACAAAATTAAGAAACATATTGAGCATTTGTATATTCGTTGAAAAAACAAAACCGAAAGAAAAAAACCAAAACCAAAAGAGGAAAACAGGACAAAAACCAAAAACCAGAAGAGAAACAAGAGAAAACCAAACCAGAAGAAGCATAAACAAAACTAGAAGAAGAAAACCGGAACAAAACCAGAAGAAAAAAACAACAAAGAAAACCAAAACATGGAAGAAGAAAAACTAACGAAAGAAACAGCAGCGAACGAAAAAGAAGCACGCGAACCCGTAGTGGGCCGGCCCAACATGCACGCGAACGGAAACAGCTGTGAGCGTTTCCTCGGCAGCTTGCCGCACACGGGCGTGCAATAGGATTCGCCGGTCGCATTGGGTAATGCCAATGTGGCCTGTTGGATACGGCCCGACGTGAGAAAAATGGAGGAGTGTGGCAGGCTGACACAAATGGGTTAACAGCTTGCTGGGGCCCAAGTTTGGCCTGCTTCCGATCTGGTTGTGACCTTATTTAGATTAGACATAAGAGAGCTCCTCGGCAGCGCCTTCAGCGCCCGCTAGCGAACCCAGCGCCCGCTGCGTCGCCTGCATGGGCTTGGCCCAGCAACGCGCGCTGGCTCCCGCTCGCTAGCCGCCCACTCGATCGCTCGATCGCTGGTTCACGCAGCACGCTTGATCGCTTTTTTTTTCTCTTCTCGAGAATTGCTACATTATGTCATGATTTCTCTTAGGAAAAAACCAACCGGTTTTCTACAGTACATACTCTGGTTCTTAGGAAAAAGTTCATCGAATTCGAAAAAAAGTTCACCGAATTTGCAAAAAAGTTCATCAATTTTGAAAAAAATCATTGAATACGAAAAAAAGTTCATCAAATTTGAAAAAAGTTCATCAAATTTAAAAAAGTTCATCGAATATGAAAAAAGTTCATCGATTTTGAAGAAAACTTCATCGGATTTGAAAAAAGGTTCATCAGATTCAAAAAAAGTTCATCAATTTTGAAAAAAAATCGTCGAATACGAAAAAAGTTCATCGATTTTGAAGAAAAGTTCATCGGATTTGAAAAAAGTTCATCGAATTTGGAAAAAAGTTCATCGAAGTTGAAAAAAAAGTTCGCCAGATTTGGAAAAAGTTTGGGATTATGAAAAAAGTCCAGAAAATTTTGAAAAAAGTTCATTGAATTTGGAAAAAGTTCATTAAATTTGAAAAAAGTTCATTGATTTTGAAAAAGTTCACCCACTTTCCAGAAAAAAAGTTCACAAATTTGAAAAAAAGTTCATCGATTTTGAAAAAAGTTTATCAATTTTGAGAAATGTTCACGAATTTGAAAAAAAGTTCATCTATTTTGAAAAAAGTTCATCTACTACCAGGAAAAAGGTTCACGAATTTCTTTCGCAAAAAAAAGTTCGCAACTTTGAGAAAAATGTAAAAGGGACATAGAAGAAAATAAAAAAGAAGAAAAGGCCAAACAAACCACTCTTTGACACTTAAGGTTCGTTGGTCGGGTGGTTATGGCGTTGAAGTCTTTAGAATCCAGTCGCTGGTTCGAATCCTGGCTGGCACGCGCTTTTTCTCTTTTATAGAAACAGAGAACGATCATATGGGCCGGCCCGCTATCGAAACCTAGCGTATGGGGAGGGTGTGCGCCGTGTACCATAATGCCTATATTCGGCGCTTAAGGTGCCGAATAGGATTTGGCTAGACATAAGCTGGTAGGCCTTTATTTAGACTAGACATAAGATGGCGGGCTAGACAAAGATTACAAGAGGGACGGTACATCACATGTATTAGGGGTGACCAGACCGATCATGACGGATGGTCAAAGGCCTGTTTGATGGCCTCGACGGGCTTATCGTCGATTGTAATATGTTGCTTCGTAAATGGGAGGAGCGTCTGTAGTCATGTCTGAGAGATGTAGCCATGTTGATCAACCTCGTTATCAAATTTCGGTTTCGTTGTTCATGCTCATGTGATTTTATTTCCAAATTGAGGGGCACGCCCCTGATTTCATTTTCAATGCTGAAGAACGAAACCGATAAACAAAGTTATAATGTTTTTTCGAGAGTACGTCAATGGCGTACCATAGATTTACGGAACAGAGAAGTATAATTACAAGATTGCGTCCTAGGTGCGAACACGAAGGACGATACAACACACGCGACACCAACGCCTCACTATCCTAAACTAACTTCTCACAAAAGCGTTGTAGTCCTCCGACGCCCACACCCGCCATCTTTCACTCAGCGATTTCATCCAGGATCATGAATGGAAGGTCGAACGCCGTCTTGTGCTCATTGGTCCTACTGAATACTCTAGTGTTCCTCTGCTTCCACAGGGCCCACGCTACTGCTGTCACCATCGTGTCAAAACCTCTTCGGTCAGCTTCATTGAAACCCGTGCACGCTGCGAGCCACCACTCCGTGAACTCATCCGCCTCTAGTGGCCCTTGCACGTTAATCTGAAGAAGGCCGAACACTCCGTGCCACACTTCCTGGGCATAGGTGCAGTTTGCCAGGATGTGTTCCACATTATCCTCCGCATGCAAGCACGTATAGCAGGCCGACGGTTGGCCTTGTAGCCCGTGCCTGGCTCTCCTGTCCGACGTCCACAATCTGTTCTGTAAGGCAAGCCAGACGAATAGCTTGCATTTGAGCGGTGCCCAGCTTCTCCAAGTGCAATCCGCAGTGGGCGATCTGGTCAGCTCGGAGCAGAGGTAGTGATAGACCGATTTGGCCGAGTAGGAGCCCGTCGTCGTGAGTGGCCAAGTGAAACTATCTGGTTGATCCGGATCCCTCACCACCGTGTTAATCGCATGACCAAGATGCATGAGCTGTATGAGGGCCGTGAAGGAGGTGTTTGCCTCAAAGTCATGTGTCCAGCTCGCGTCATCGAGTGCCTGACGCACCGTGCGTCTGTTTGCCGTCCTGGCCGGGACCAAGGCGACCACTAATGGTGCAATGTCTGCTGCCGCCACTCCATGTATCCACCTGTCCTTCCAGAAAAGCACCCGCTCGCCCGACCCTACTCTGGTATTGACCAACGCATCAAACACCTCTTTAGCATCATCATCCTTCATCAAAGGCAGTCCTTGCCATGGGCGTTGGGCATCGGTCCTCTTGAGCCATTTCCATCTTACTCTGAGCGCAATTGCCTGCCATTTCAGGACAGAGTCATAATGTGATTGTTTGTCTTTGACGAATCGACATACACCTCAGATTATTCTAACGCCTGTCCGCGCCTACACGCGCCGGCCTCGGACTCGATCAAACCATGTCTTGAAGCAATAGTATACATAAATCACAAATATGGAGAACATATTAGAGTACTCTGCATTACAGTGGGCATGAATGATAGTATGCCATGAATCATGCGCCTTTGCCCCTTCGGGGCATACATACATGTGAAACGAAAAGTAGGCACCAACCAAAACGAAAGAGATGGAAAGACACGGGACCCTTTTTGGCAATATGCCAACGACCAACGCCTCAACCACCGGCCTAGCTCATGCTCAGCCACACGCAGGCAGGCAGCAGCGGTAGGGCAGCCACACCCTTTACTCTCTGAGATCCAAACCAAAAAGAAGAAGCAAAGTGTAGGTAGGAGGAGCTCGCGGTAGGAGCGCCGTAGTATAGCAAGCAAACACACGACGAAATTAACCAAGGCACGGGCGCCACCGTCCGTTCCGTTCACGGGCTCCATCCCTCAGCACTCCGGCGTGAGCGAGCGGTCCCTCCGGAAGTCCTGGCAGTAGTAGTAGACCATGTGGCGCTGCTGCGCCCACCGCATCGCCGCGTACTGCTGCCGCGTGAGCCCCGTGCCGGCGGGGGACGCCCGGGCCGGGCGGCACGAGGGCGGGGCGCCGGCCCCGCACCCAGCGACCACGAAGCGGTCGAAGCGCGCCACGAACGGCTGGTAGCTGTAGTCGGCCCGGTGCCGGCCGTCGTCGGTGGCCCAGTCGGAGGCGTCCCAGATGGAGCCGTACGCCCACATGGGGCGGTCCGGGAAGGTGAGCTCCGTCTTGCGCTCGTACCGCCGGACGGGCACGTCGTCCACGAAGAAGGTGATGGCGTCCGGGTTCCAGAGGATGGCGTAGGTGTGGAAGCCGGCGGTGGGGTCGAACCAGAGGTGGAACCGCATCTCCCGCCCGATGATCCGCCCGTCGCCGCTGCCGCGGACGTACACGTTGGTCTGCAGCGTGTAGGGCTCGCCGGGGATGGTGCCCAGGAACTCCATGTCGATCTCGTCGTGGAACCCGGGGTGCGCCTCGTTGTTGGACAGCTGCGCGCGCGTATCAGTTAACCTGTTACTGCCAGTACTAATCAACGTTGCATTATCTAGAGAATATATGTGTATGGTGCTTACGTAGAAGGCGGTGTTGGTGCCGGCGGTGTAGCCGGCGGGGAGCTTGATGCGGGTGGCGAAGTAGCCGTTCCTGTACGCATGCTTCGACTTGAACCCGCTACCTGCATAGATCAGATCAGATGTGAGGCGAGGGAATGTTCACCAACATAATCAAGCAGCAGCAAATCAATCCCTCCATAGATCAGCATAAGAGTAGACAACAGTGATCTATCACTGCTGCCACGTCCGTGGTGGCCCAAACCGCACTGTGCTTATCGCCGTGCGATGCACAGGCCGGGGGCTCCTCCATTACCAAAAGGGAAAACGCACTGTGCCCGTGCTTCAGATTCGACACAGGTGACACCGACGATTCAACGTGGCGCTAGTGACGTCTCTTTCGCTACAGCACGGGCCTGAACAGTGAATTCACGTACTAGTACGTGCGTCGGTGACACTGTTGCCAAAAAAACAAGAGCCAAATATACATGCATGCATGCACCTAAACTATACTACTGGTTGAATTTTAAAAACAATTGGCAGTCTTTCCAGAGATGCGCAAAGAAGAAGAAAAAAATTGCACGTACCGCAGGTCTTGTCGAGCCAGATGGTGATGGCCGAATGGTCGCCGGAGAGCGTCTGGTGCTGCGGGCCCCACTTGTTGCTGTACGCGCGGTTGAACACCACCGGCCTGAACCTCGAGCTCGGGTAGTAGCCGGGGGAGGGCTGCGCGTCGGAGGAGGCCACCGCCATTGCCAGGAGCAGCAGCGCCATGGCCGGGAGCAAGGAGGCGCTGGCCATTGTTGCTCCGCGGAGCTACTGGCTGGCTAGAGCTAGGTGCTCCCTCCTGGTGAGAGGAGAGAGAGAGAGTACACTTGGTAGCTAAGCGAGCTGCTTTGGGGAGAGTGTATGTCCGTGTTGAGACAATATATAGGAGGAGAACAGAGAAAGGAAGCGACCAAGTTGGCCCACTCACACGAGAGGGAGTTGGGTAGTGATGGGGCAGCGTGAGTAAATGATAAATGTGCGGATGCAGGTGGATCCATGGAAGATGAAGGGAAGCACCCTAGGTACCCACCACATCTTCTCACCTCAGTTTCACCTGACCTGCCGGCGAAGGATGCTGCCTTTGGCAAGTGCCAAGTACCTAGAGCCAAAGTGCTTGCATGCAAGGGTAATTTCAACGCTGTGCGGCCATGTAACACGGTGCACCAAATGTCCGCTCGTGTTCATTTCCTATATCTGAAGCACTCAAAATAGTTTAAGATAAATATCAACATTCATCCCTAATCATGTTGTGTAAATATTTCAATGCACAATAATTTAAATATAAATATTACAATTCACACATGAAGTTTTCCAGTAAAATAGTTCAATTTTGAATCAACTTATCCGGACATGTTTTTTAGCTCTCCCTCGAAGTGCCCACAAATACTCAACCAGATCATTCTGAAGTTGTTCATGAGTTGCTCGATGGTTATTTGTTGATATTTGGAAGAAAAAAAAAATCCTCAAACGTCACCGGATTCTTCTCTGAAAGTTAGATAGGATCACCCATTTGCTCAAATTCCTAACCGTGGCAAACTCCGTCATCCTCATCCTCCACAATCATGGTGGGCATTAACACACAAGCTGCCATCACCTCGTAGAACATCTGTGCACCTCATACTTTTGCAGGTCCATGAACAATCGAAAAATGGGCTTGAAGCACTCCAAATGCCCCCCCGACGTCCTTTCTAACTCCGTGTCTTTGAAAAAAAAGAGAGATCTTTTCTCACCTCTTGGATCAGATATGGTCTTGACGAAGGTCGGCAACGTAGGATAAATACCATCACAAAGATAAATAGCTTATGTTTTAGTCATGACCATCAATGGTATAGTTGCACTGAGGAGCTTCTCCCGCACACACCATGCAGACAATGAAGACCACTGTAGCAGGTTGATGTCATTGTGAGACCTGTTGGGGAACGTTGCATGGAAAACAAAACAAAAATCTACGCACACGCAAGATCTATCCATGGAGATGCATAGCTATGAGAGGGGAGAGCATCTACATACCCTTGTATATCACTAAGCGGAAGCATTTATCAATGCGGTTGATGTAGTCGTACACCTTCACGACCCGTCCCGATCAAGAACCGAACGTACGTCACCTCCGTGTTCAGCACACGTTCAGCTCGATGACGTCCTCGACTTCTCGATCCAGCAAGAGAGACGAAGTAGTAGATGAGTTCCGGCAGCACGACGACGTGGTGAGGATAGTGGTGAAACTTTTCCGCAGGGCTTTGTCAAGCACAACAGTTTAGAGTGGAGGACGAACTAGAGGGAGAGGGGGCACCGACACACGGCTTGGGGATTCGTGGTGTGTGGCGTCCCCTCCCCTCCTCTCATATATATAGGTGGAGGGGAAGGAGAGGTAGCCCTAGGGCGTGCCCCAAGGGGCCGGCGGCTGCCCTAGGTGCCTGCCTAGGCGCCCCCACCCCCTCTTCCATATTTGGTGCATGGGGGGAAGGAAAGGGGGCCGGCTTCCCTAGGGTGCCCCTCTTTCCTTCTGGCGCGCGGGTAAGGGAGGTGGAGCGCGCCCAGGTCCCTTGTGAGTTGGTGCGCCTTCCTCCTTGGCCCATGAGGCCCACCAAGTAGGTATAACCTACCAGAACCCCTTCCTGCACTTCGATGGTAATCCGGTGCATTCTGAAACCTTTCCGAAACCCGAATACCTTCATCCTATATATCAATCTTTACCTCCGGACCATTCCGAAGCTCCTCGTCATGTCTGTGATCTCATCTGGAACTCCGAACAACATTCGGTCACCAACATACATAACTCATATATAGTACCATATCGTTAAGTGTGCGGACCCTACGGGTTGGAGAATGATGTAGACATGACCGAGACGCTTCTCCGGTCAATAGCCAATAGTGGTACCTGGATGCCCATATTGGTTCCTACATATTCTATGAAGATCTTTATCGGTCAAACCTTTATGACAACGTACGTAGTTCCCTTTGTCTGTCGGTATGTTACTTGCCCAAGATTCGATCGTCAGTATCTGCATACCTAGTTCAATCTCGTTACCGACAAGTCTCTTTACTCATTCCAGAATACATCATCTTTTAACTAACTCCTTAGTCACTTTGCTTGCAAGTTTCTTGTGATGATGTATTACCGAGAGGGCCCAGAGATACCTCTTCGTCATACGGATTGACAAATCCCAATCTCGATTCACGCCAACCCAACAGATACCTTCGGAGATACCTGTTGAGCACCTATATGATCACCCAGTTACGAAGTGATGTTTGATAGCACACAAAGTATTCCTTCGGTATCCGGGAGTTGCATGATTTCATGGTCGAAGGAATATGTATTTGACATTAAGAAATCAGTAGCAATAAACTGAACGATCATATGCTAAGCTAACGGACGGGTCTTCTCCATCATATCATTCTCATAATGATGTGATCCTGTTATCAAGTGACAACTCATGTCTATGGTCAGGAAACCTTAACCATCTTTTGATCAACGATCTAGTCTAGTAGAGGCTTACTAGGGACTTGGAATTTGCTTATGTATTCACACATGTATTTAAGTTTCGGATCAATAAAATTATAGCATGAATAATAAACCTTTATCATGATTAAGGAAATATAATAATAACCACTTTATTATTGCCTCTAGGGCATATTTCCAATAGTCTCCCACTTGCACTAGAGTTAATAATCTGGATTACATAGTAATGAATCTAACACCCATGGAGTCTTGGTCTTGATCATGTTTTGCCCGCTGAAGAGGTTTAGTCAACGGGCCTGCCACATTCAGATCCGTATGTATTTTGAAATTTCTATGTATCCATCCTTGACCGTTTCACGAATGGAGTTGAAGTGTCGCTTGATGTGTTTAGTTCTCTTGTGAAACCTGGATTCCTTGGCTAAGGCAATTGCTCCAGTGTTGTCACAAAAGATTGTCATTGGACCCGATGCACTGGGTATTACACCCAGATCGAATATGAACTCCTTCATGTAGACTCCTTCATGCGTTGCTTCTGAAGCAGGTATGTACTTCACTTCACATGTAGATCCCGCCACGACGCTCTGCTTAGAACTGCACCAACTGACAGCTCCACCATTCAATATAAATATGTATCCGGTTTGCGACATAGAGTCATCCGGATCTGTGTCGAAGCTAGCATCGACGTAACCCTTTACGACGAGATCTTCATCACCTACATAAACGAGAAACATATCCTTGGTCCTTTTCAGGTACTTTAGGATATTCTTGACCGTTGTCCAGTGATCCACTCCTGGATTAATTTGGTACCTCCCTACCAAACTTATGGCAAGGCACACATCAGGTCTGGTACACAGCATGGCATACATTATAGAACCTATGGTTGATGCATAGGGAATGACTTTCATTCTCTCTCTATCTTCTGCCGTGGTCGGACTTTGAGTCTGACTCAATTTCACACCTTGTAACACAGACAAGAACCCTTTCTTTGACTGGTCCATTTTGAACTTCTTTAGAACTTTGTCAAGGTATTGGCTTTGTGAAATTCCTATTAAGCGTCTTGATCTATCCCTATAGATCTTGATGCCCAATATGTAAGCAGCTTCACCAAGGTCTTTCATTGAAAAATTCTTATTTAAATATCCGTTTATGCTATCTAGAAATTATATATCATTTCCAATCAGCAATATGCCATCCACATATAATATCATAAATGCTACAGAGCTCCCACTCACTTTCTTGTAAATACAGGCTTCACCGCAAGTCTGCATCAAACCAAATGCTTTGATCACCTCATCAAAGCGTATATTCCAACTCTGAGATGCTTGCTGTTGGGGAACGTAGTAATTTCAAAAAAATTCCTACGCACACGCAAGATCATGGTGATGCATAGCAACGAGAGGGGAGAGTGTGATCTACGTACCCTTGTAGACCGACAACGGAAGCGTTAGCGCAACGTGGTTGATGTAGTCGTACGTCTTCACGGCCCGACCGATCAAGCACCGAAACTACGGCACCTCCGAGTTCTAGCACACGTTCAGCTCGATGACGATCCCCGGACTCCGATCCAGCAAAGTGTCGGGGAAGAGTTCCGTCAGCACGATGGCGTGGTGACGATCTTGATGTACTACCGTCGCAGGGCTTCGCCTAAGCACCGCTACAATATTATCGAGGATTATGGTGGAAGGGGGCACCGCACACGGCTAAGAATATGATCACGTGGATCAACTTGTTTGTCTAGGGGTGCCCCCTGCCCCCGTATATAAAGGAGCAGGGGAAGGTGCGGCCGGCCAGGAGGAGGGCGCGCCAGGAGAAGTCCTACTCCCACCGGGAGTAGGATTCCCCCCTTTTCCTAGTTGGAATAGGATTCGGGAGGGGGAAAGAGGAGAGAGGGAAGGAAGGGGGGGCGCCGCCCCCCTCTCCTTGTCCTATTCGGACTAGGGGAGGCGGCGGCCCAGCCCTGGCCACCTCTCCTCTCTTCCACTAAAGCCTACTAAGGCCCATATACCTCCCGGGGGGGGGGGTCCCGATTTCACCCGGAACACTTCCGATATCCAAATATAGGCTTCCAATATATCAATATTTATGTCTCGACCATTTCGAGACTCCTCGTCATGTCCGTGATCACATCCGGGACTCCAAACAAACTTCGGTACATCAAAATGCATAAACTCATAATATAACTGTCATCAAAACTTTAAGCGTGCGGACCCTACAGGTTCGAGAACAATGTAGACATGACCGAGACACGTCTCCGGTCAATAACCAATAGCGGAACCTGGATGCTCATATTGGC